GTCCCCAGGGCCACTTTGTCCCATCTTCACGGTTGTTTGAGCCACCCCAGGGCCACTTTAACCCATCCTTGGGGACATTTGGGCCACCTAAGCCATTCTGGGTCCACCACCACCCATCCCAAGGCCATGTAAGCTGTCCCCAAGGCCACTCAGCCTGTCCCCAGGGCCACTTTGTCCCATCTTCACGGTTGTTTGAGCCACCCCAGGGCCACTTTAACCCATCCTTGGGGACATTTGGGCCACCTAAGCCATTCTGGGTCCACCACCACCCATCCCAAGGCCATGTAAGCTGTCCCCAAGGCCACTCAGCCTGTCCCCAGGGCCACTTTGTCCCATCTTCACGGTTGTTTGAGCCACCCCAGGGCCACTTTAACCCATCCTTGGGGACATTTGGGCCACCTAAGCCATTCTGGGTCCACCACCACCCATCCCAAGGCCATGTAAGCTGTCCCCAAGGCCACTCAGCCTGTCCCCAGGGCCACTTTGTCCCATCTTCACGGTTGTTTGAGCCACCCCAGGGCCACTTTAACCCATCCTTGGGGACATTTGGGCCACCTAAGCCATTCTGGGTCCACCACCACCCATCCCAAGGCCATGTAAGCTGTCCCCAAGGCCACTCAGCCTGTCCCCAGGGCCACTTTGTCCCATCTTCACGGTTGTTTGAGCCACCCCAGGGCCACTTTAACCCATCCTTGGGGACATTTGGGCCACCTAAGCCATTCTGGGTCCACCACCACCCATCCCAAGGCCATGTAAGCTGTCCCCAAGGCCACTCAGCCTGTCCCCAGGGCCACTTTGTCCCATCTTCACGGTTGTTTGAGCCACCCCAGGGCCACTTTAACCCATCCTTGGGGACATTTGGGCCACCTAAGCCATTCTGGGTCCACCACCACCCATCCCAAGGCCATGTAAGCTGTCCCCAAGGCCACTCAGCCTGTCCCCAGGGCCACTTTGTCCCATCTTCACGGTTGTTTGAGCCACCCCAGGGCCACTTTAACCCATCCTTGGGGACATTTGGGCCACCTAAGCCATTCTGGGTCCACCACCACCCATCCCAAGGCCATGTAAGCTGTCCCCAAGGCCACTCAGCCTGTCCCCAGGGCCACTTTGTCCCATCTTCACGGTTGTTTGAGCCACCCCAGGGCCACTTTAACCCATCCTTGGGGACATTTGGGCCACCTAAGCCATTCTGGGTCCACCACCACCCATCCCAAGGCCATGTAAGCTGTCCCCAAGGCCACTCAGCCTGTCCCCAGGGCCACTTTGTCCCATCTTCACGGTTGTTTGAGCCACCCCAGGGCCACTTTAACCCATCCTTGGGGACATTTGGGCCACCTAAGCCATTCTGGGTCCACCACCACCCATCCCAAGGCCATGTAAGCTGTCCCCAAGGCCACTCAGCCTGTCCCCAGGGCCACTTTGTCCCATCTTCACGGTTGTTTGAGCCACCCCAGGGCCACTTTAACCCATCCTTGGGGACATTTGGGCCACCTAAGCCATTCTGGGTCCACCACCACCCATCCCAAGGCCATGTAAGCTGTCCCCAAGGCCACTCAGCCTGTCCCCAGGGCCACTTTGTCCCATCTTCACGGTTGTTTGAGCCACCCCAGGGCCACTTTAACCCATCCTTGGGGACATTTGGGCCACCTAAGCCATTCTGGGTCCACCACCACCCATCCCAAGGCCATGTAAGCTGTCCCCAAGGCCACTCAGCCTGTCCCCAGGGCCACTTTGTCCCATCTTCACGGTTGTTTGAGCCACCCCAGGGCCACTTTAACCCATCCTTGGGGACATTTGGGCCACCTAAGCCATTCTGGGTCCACCACCACCCATCCCAAGGCCATGTAAGCTGTCCCCAAGGCCACTCAGCCTGTCCCCAGGGCCACTTTGTCCCATCTTCACGGTTGTTTGAGCCACCCCAGGGCCACTTTAACCCATCCTTGGGGACATTTGGGCCACCTAAGCCATTCTGGGTCCACCACCACCCATCCCAAGGCCATGTAAGCTGTCCCCAAGGCCACTCAGCCTGTCCCCAGGGCCACTTTGTCCCATCTTCACGGTTGTTTGAGCCACCCCAGGGCCACTTTAACCCATCCTTGGGGACATTTGGGCCACCTAAGCCATTCTGGGTCCACCACCACCCATCCCAAGGCCATGTAAGCTGTCCCCAAGGCCACTCAGCCTGTCCCCAGGGCCACTTTGTCCCATCTTCACGGTTGTTTGAGCCACCCCAGGGCCACTTTAACCCATCCTTGGGGACATTTGGGCCACCTAAGCCATTCTGGGTCCACCACCACCCATCCCAAGGCCATGTAAGCTGTCCCCAAGGCCACTCAGCCTGTCCCCAGGGCCACTTTGTCCCATCTTCACGGTTGTTTGAGCCACCCCAGGGCCACTTTAACCCATCCTTGGGGACATTTGGGCCACCTAAGCCATTCTGGGTCCACCACCACCCATCCCAAGGCCATGTAAGCTGTCCCCAAGGCCACTCAGCCTGTCCCCAGGGCCACTTTGTCCCATCTTCACGGTTGTTTGAGCCACCCCAGGGCCACTTTAACCCATCCTTGGGGACATTTGGGCCACCTAAGCCATTCTGGGTCCACCACCACCCATCCCAAGGCCATGTAAGCTGTCCCCAAGGCCACTCAGCCTGTCCCCAGGGCCACTTTGTCCCATCTTCACGGTTGTTTGAGCCACCCCAGGGCCACTTTAACCCATCCTTGGGGACATTTGGGCCACCTAAGCCATTCTGGGTCCACCACCACCCATCCCAAGGCCATGTAAGCTGTCCCCAAGGCCACTCAGCCTGTCCCCAGGGCCACTTTGTCCCATCTTCACGGTTGTTTGAGCCACCCCAGGGCCACTTTAACCCATCCTTGGGGACATTTGGGCCACCTAAGCCATTCTGGGTCCACCACCACCCATCCCAAGGCCATGTAAGCTGTCCCCAAGGCCACTCAGCCTGTCCCCAGGGCCACTTTGTCCCATCTTCACGGTTGTTTGAGCCACCCCAGGGCCACTTTAACCCATCCTTGGGGACATTTGGGCCACCTAAGCCATTCTGGGTCCACCACCACCCATCCCAAGGCCATGTAAGCTGTCCCCAAGGCCACTCAGCCTGTCCCCAGGGCCACTTTGTCCCATCTTCACGGTTGTTTGAGCCACCCCAGGGCCACTTTAACCCATCCTTGGGGACATTTGGGCCACCTAAGCCATTCTGGGTCCACCACCACCCATCCCAAGGCCATGTAAGCTGTCCCCAAGGCCACTCAGCCTGTCCCCAGGGCCACTTTGTCCCATCTTCACGGTTGTTTGAGCCACCCCAGGGCCACTTTAACCCATCCTTGGGGACATTTGGGCCACCTAAGCCATTCTGGGTCCACCACCACCCATCCCAAGGCCATGTAAGCTGTCCCCAAGGCCACTCAGCCTGTCCCCAGGGCCACTTTGTCCCATCTTCACGGTTGTTTGAGCCACCCCAGGGCCACTTTAACCCATCCTTGGGGACATTTGGGCCACCTAAGCCATTCTGGGTCCACCACCACCCATCCCAAGGCCATGTAAGCTGTCCCCAAGGCCACTCAGCCTGTCCCCAGGGCCACTTTGTCCCATCTTCACGGTTGTTTGAGCCACCCCAGGGCCACTTTAACCCATCCTTGGGGACATTTGGGCCACCTAAGCCATTCTGGGTCCACCACCACCCATCCCAAGGCCATGTAAGCTGTCCCCAAGGCCACTCAGCCTGTCCCCAGGGCCACTTTGTCCCATCTTCACGGTTGTTTGAGCCACCCCAGGGCCACCGGGGGTCACGTGTAGCAATCCCGAGGCTTCTTAGCCCGTGCCTGGGGCCACTTGAGCCATCTCTGAATGGCTGAAGCTCTCCCTGGAGCCACTTCACCCATCCCCAGGGTCACTTGAGCCATCCTGGGATGGCTTAGCCCGGCCCTGGGCCCAACTGGGCCGTCCTGGGACAACTTTGCTTATCCCTGGGGCCACCTGAGCCATCCTGAGATCGCTTTGACCCATCCCAGGGCCACTGAAGCTGTACCCAGGGCCACTTAGCCCGTCCTGGGTACCATTTAGCCTGTCCCCAACCCCTTCTGAGCCATCTCCAAGGCCAGCTGGGACCTCCTGGGGCAGCTTAGCCCATCTCTGAGGCCATTGATGCCATCATGGGACCACTTCTGCCCTTCCCAGGGGGCACTGAAGGTGTCCCCAAGAGCCACTTGAGCCATCCTGGGGCCACTTGACCTCTCACAGAGCAGTTTGGCCATCCCAGGGCCACTTGCACCCATCCTTGGGAACCTTTAGCCCATCCCTGGGGCCATTTGAGCCATCTCCGGGGCCACCTAAGCCTTTCTGGAGCCACCATGACCTATCCCAGGGCCACTCAGCCTGTCCCTAAGGCCACTCATCCTGTCCCCAGGGCCACGTAAGCCATCCCAGGGCCACTTTGTCCCAGCTTCAGGGTTGTGTGAGCCATCCCAGGGCCACCTTCCCCCATCCTTGGGGACCTTGAGCCCATCCCTGGGGCCACCTAAGCCACCCTGGAGCCACCATGACCTATCCCAGGGTCACTCACCCTGTCCCCAGGAGCCACTCAGGCCATTTAAGCTGTCCCCAAGGTCACTCAGCCTGTCCCCAGGGCCACAGAAGCCATCCCAGGGCCACTTCCCCCCATCCTTGGGGACATTGAGCCCATCCCTGGGGCCATTTGAGCCATCACCGGGGCCACCTAAGCCACTCTGGGGCCACCACCACCCATCCCAGGGCCATTTAAGCTGTCCCCAAGGCCACGTAAGCCATCCCAGGGCCACTTTGTCCCAGCTCAGGGTTGTTTGAGCCATCCCAGGGCCACTGGAGCCATCTGGGGTCAGCTTAGCCCCTCCCCAGAGCCACTTTACGCCCGTGTCCCCGAGCTGTCCTCAGGCTCAGCGACCCTCCTGGGGACATCAAACCCCCTCCCCGGGACTCACTGCTCCCATTTTTCCCCCCCCCAGCGCCTCCGCACCGAGAACCGCCTGCTCAAACAGCGCATCGAAACCCTGGAGAAGGTAAGCCTGGCACCCCAAAACCCCCCCTGAGGGCACCCCAAAAATCCCCTGTGAGCACCCAACCCCCGGAGCACCCAAAAAGTCCCCTGGAGCACCCCAACCC